TTATCTACAAACCTGAAAATAAAAGTAATGTCCAAAACAAACCCCCCAGTGGTTGTAAAGGTTGCAGAGTCCTGGTCTGTTAGAAATAACGTGTGCCTGGATCCATGTTTCCAAATCTACTTTGTGTTCCAGTGTGTCTACATCATCCATCCACCTCTCACCCCTCATTCCAACCATCCTGCTAATGTGATCATGTATCACCTATGAAGTGGATTTACAAGGCTGAGAAAAACAGGTATAAACTGTTTGTTCTTCCTGTGTATTTCATCAGCATCTGTCTTATCATTAATCCCTTGTGTCTTTATTTTATCTATAATATAATAGTATTTTACTGGGAGATGCATTAACTGCTAGCTAATTAGAGTTTCTTAAAGAACAATGCTTAAACTCTTCCAATAACTTCCCTGTAGTCGTCTTCTGGCTGTGTTTGCTGTGACAGACTGAAGGTTTGTGTTGGTCCTTATGATTGGATCTCACTTGTTTCCTCACCAGCTCAGTTTAGTGTGGGTGTTAATTAAATCTGGTGTCACGTTATGCTTCTCACCTTGTGCTTCTCTCTGTGTCAGTTTCCACTGGGTCCTTTTTTTTCTACTTATATTTAATCATCTTTCCTAATTCCTGTTTGTTTATTATTTCCCCTACTTTTGCCTCTTTGAGTGTCTTCCTGTGTTTTTAATCTATTTTTATTTTTTTCTTCTCCACTGCCTTCATAACCATACACAGGCCTGCCAACATGGGAACTCGCAGCATCTGGAGCACCTACTCTTCTATGGGGCGGATTCGTCCTCCCAGAACGCCTCTGGAAACACTGCCTTGCACATCTGTGCTTTATACAACAAGGTAGACACTCAAGAAGACACAGAACAGAGTTTGAGCAGAAAAAACAAACGTATGAAGCATATTAAAAGCACTTTAGTCTTAAAACTATCATGCACTTTTTTTTTTACAAGACTAAGGAGCCTATTTATTTGATTTTCATAGTTTGTTTTTTCTCAAAGATTAACCATATTCCGTCTTTTATTTTAATCACAACTTTTTAACTTTTTATTCTGATAATTCCCTATTTTGCTCTTTAGGAAAAAATAGTACATAGGAAAAAGCTAAATAAGTGAGTGATAATCATGGGAGTATATTTCTCACCCTGCACTGCATGGTTTGTTGCAGGAAAGTTGTGCACGAATCCTTCTGTACCGTGGAGCCAGTAAAGACATGAAAAATAACAGCGGACAGACTCCATTTCAGGTGAAGCTTGAGTGACGTGGATACTGTAAATTATATTTTAACTGTTGTTATTACGCGGGGAGGTTATCTGAACTAAAATGACGTTTTATGCAAAACAACAAAATAAAAAAAATGAGTTGAATTACATTTTTTTTCTTTTAAGTTCTTAAATAATACGAAAGCCGCTGGTTTCTCCTTCATTTTTCAGATGAGAGAAAGATGTCTCCTAATTTTGTAAAGAAAGCCACATTAATTTTGAGGAATGAAAATTCCAGCTAATAAATAAATTAACCAGTAATTAATGTGTATAAATGGCCTTGAATATAAATACATTAGAATTCAGGGATCCCCAACCTCGGTCCTCAAGGCCCGCTGTCCTGCAGGTTTTAGAGGTTTCCCTACTCTAGCACAGCTGATTATAATGATTGCAGTAGACCAAAAGCCTTTTATCAGCTTTCAGTTAAAATCAGCTGTGCTGGAGCTTGAAACCTCTAAAACCTGCAGGACAGCGGGCCTCGAGGACCGAGGTTGGTGATGAGTGCATTAGATAATAGACATGTGTATGTTAAATGTTGATTTTAACGAGTGATTGAATTACTAAAGCAAAGAAATGTTAAAAAATTATAGTTTTCATTTTGAACAAAACAAACAGGGTTGATATTTCTGACTCTGATTTGCCTTTTCTTTTGAATCAGGTGGCTGTTATGTCTGGGCATTTTGAATTGGGTGAAATTATAAAAAACCACCGAGATACAGATGTGGGTAAGTGATCTACATCCTCTTATTTATTATTCATGTGATACAAACACATCCCCCACCCATGTCTTTGTTTCCATGCAGGAATACTTTATGAGAATAAAGAGTTAAGTACTTGAACGCAATGCAAAAATAGAAGGAAGTGAAAGATTTGACATGGGATGTGTTTTATCCTTCAGCTGATCATCTATTCATGTGCTATTCATTCAAAGTTTTGGGCTAACAGCTCTTTAGGAATTTCTGGTCACAACTAAGCGAAAAGAAATGAAAAATTTTAGGAGAAAAGGGGAGAAAAGCTGCAAAAGTTCAGAATGGCAAAGGAAACTTTCAATAAGTGTCAATCTGGCTAACTGGTTGCAAATTTAAGAACACAGTGGATATTTTGAGTGAAATCAAACATAATGCTTTGATTGTTTGGTATTTTTTTGTCTCCTAGTTCCTTTTGTTGAGTCTCCAAAGTACGCCCCCCAGAGGAGAGAGAGCACCCGCACCCTGGGGCTGCCCCATCCACACCCCTTTCTTCGAGCCAACAGTGACAGCAGCATGAACCTGCCAGACTGGATGGCTGTGCCCAACGCCCCGACCACCAACATCGTTTCTGTGCAGGTATCAGTGCAGCATTTATCAGCTCAGAGTCCGACTCTGATAGTCCTGGAAGTGAATCCATGAGTCCTCAAATACATTTCAGGGAAACAAACAAATACTCCATTGCTCACCACTTCAGGACTCACTTCAGGTTTTTAAAAAGGTTTGGAAATCTGCATTGACCTCTAGTGGCTAGATTGGCTAAATACAGCTATTCGATATTTGTAAAAACTTATTAACTTCCCTCATGCTCATTTTTTTTAATCACATATTAAATTATCAGATCTTAAGCTCCATAGTAGTTACATTCATGCCCCAATCTGGGAAATAGTTTTTTCTCAAAGCAGCCTACTCTAACCCCCTACAATTGAACCTGGTAAGCCGAGAGGGATTTAAAGACAATGTCTGTGTGAAAATACACAACTGATATGAATCAAGAACAGCTTCACAATTATCAGGCCTAAGTGCAACCTTTTGGTGCCAGTATAATAGCAACAGAAGGATAATTTTCCAAAGGATCCACTGCTACAGCCATTACAATGTCTCATTTAATTCAGTTCAGTTTATTTATAAAGCACCAATTCACGTCACGTGTCATCTCAATGCACCTTACAGAGAGGATTCCACCAGATCATACAGTCAAACTGGTTAAAAGTTTTCTAAGGAAAAACAGCTGATTGCATTGACTCATTGAGTCGAAGGCAATCCCTCATTCCAAGCATGCTTGTAGTGACAGTGGAGAGAAAAAACTGCCTTTTAACATGAAGAAGTCTCCAGCAGAACCAGACTCACTATGCATGGCCATCTGCCAAGGCCGACTGGGGTTTAGTTGTAATTAAAGATAAAATAACTTTTTTTTTTTTACTTTTTTTTTCTTTTTCAGATTTGACATTTAAAACACCATGAAAGTCCTTTTAAAAACCCAGGATATACCTCAGATTGTATACATTTACATCCTCCTTATAAATGCAGCAAACTAGGGCTGATTGAACCAATGGAAGGATATTTGATCCAGAAGGGTTTTTTGTGGACCATTAGTGGACTATTGTTTCAGGCAGAGCTCTCATTTTGGCACAATTTTGCTAAGTGTGCCAAAAGACTTTTTCACCTCATCAAAACGAACGAAAGCTGAACAGCAGATCCCTGGAAATACATCAGACATCTCGGTCCGGAAGAGTGCAGTTCTAGGAACAGCAAAGATACTGAGCAGAAGGAAAAAGGGGGGTAGACCACCCGTGATGGGTGAGGAAGAGTTTATATATCCATATATATATATATATATATATATATATATATATATATATATATATATATATATGGATTTTTCCTGCCCAGGTGTCCTACTTGAAATTCATCGAGCTCCTGAGAGCTCCCCATAATTTCACAAATTTCTGTAGGTACAGCATATCTTGCTGCCTTTTTTTATATACCTCTGGCTATCAAAGTGATTGGAATGCATGATTTCATATATTTCGATGGGTGATTGAGTACTTTTGCCGATATTGTGTATATTATGGAGAAATAAAGTTGTTTTTTTATAAAATAAAAAACGATTTAGAAGGCAGCATGACACTGTCCTGCTATCTGCTTAGCCATTGGATACATTTAAAAAAATATGCATTTGTCAAATGCTCAATCCAGAACCCTCAAGCTCCCAGGCCTCTGGTAGAGGACCTGAGCTTGGAGAAAAAAAAAAGGTGTTATGATGACTTACTCCATACTTGGTAGCCTTTTTACTCTTAGATGAGTATCTTCCTGTGGGAGTACTTTATACTTTTGTTTCAGAAAGAAAAAAATACTTAAGTATAATTTTTGGATACACTACCCTCCTCTTTTTAAATGTGACCCAATGCACTAAAGGGTTTTAAAGTTATAATTTCCATGTTCTTACACAAGGATGATGTTTAAAAGATGAATTTCAACATTTGTTTTGGACAAACTCACTAAGCTAAGGACCCTGGTGGACTGGTTAGATTTCCTACATATAAAGTAAACAGTAAACAAATGGACCCATCCATGAACATGTCAGCCTCTGAACTCATTGGACCATGTTGAGATCCTGACATGTGCAGGAAATATCCTCCTAATCTGCCTAAACCTTTGAAGGATCTGCTGTGACGACTCCTATAGAAAAAAGGCTTTTTTCCAGCTCCATTATCCATGTGATGAGATGTCAATGGGAATAAAGGTGGAAAATTAAGATAAATCTAAATAAATCTGATATTTTTAGATGGGATGAGCATGGATGGATTGAGAATATTTCTGGACATGGTTACATTAATAATAAAACATAGCTGGACACTGTATGATGTATAAACATGTATTTTTGTTTACTCCAGGGGTATAAACATACAGGAACCTTGCGGAGCTCCAGCAGTCCCAGAGGAGCGAGGACACGATCCCCGTCCCGAGGTCGGATCGGAGACAAGGAGGACCGGAGTAGGCAGAGTCAGAGACGGGGGTGAGTCTGGCTGCTCTGGGTCTCCTCATTTCACCTCTGAGAATACCGGCTTTTAATTGGCCTCTAATTCTACATATGGGGAAGAGAGCTGATTCTGAAGGAGTGTCACTGATGGCACGGACCACAGCAGTGTCAATTCAAACATTTATGGAGGAGAAGTTCTAGGAGCTTGTTTAGGTTTCATTGGGATCATTTAGGTGGACCTGTGACTAAAGGATTCAGAGATAACAATCCATAATGAGGGTTCTGTTTTAGGAAGAAAATAAGCTTGAAGACTGCTTGAAAGTTTACACACCCTCCCATTAAAGAAAAAAGAAATTCACAATAGTAATTCAAATAACATAACCCGACAAAAGGAATAATAAATTAAAATTGAATAAATGATAATTAAAATTAATTATTGATTTAGCCATAATGGCGTATTAAATATACCCTAACATCAGCTTGATATACATGTTTTACATGCCTATTATCTAATGTATGTATTTTCAATACCATTTATATATATATTTAATCCCAGTTAATTTATTTATTAAACTGGGAATATATGTTGTTTTATTTATGAAATTTTGAGATTTTTTTTATTAAGG